CCTTGGGGTCGCATTTGAGAGGTCATGTTGGGCGTTCGGTATGCATAACATGAAGGGAACAAAGCACTCACCACTTGCTTGCCATGCCGTCTGCTGAAAGGTCAACATTCTCAGCTCTCCCACCACCTCCTGGTCTATGAGGAAGAGTCCATCTTGAGCCCAGGCCCTCCCACGCCCCATGCTCAGCGTCTCCCCAGGCCCCATCCCCTTCCTACTCACACTTGATAAGGGTCACAGCCAGACCAGTGCAGCCCAGGAGCAGTGACACCACCACCAGCAGGCACAGGAACACCACCAGTCTCTCCTCCTGGTAGCACCCAGGACATCTGGACTTCTGACTGAGCTGGGACCCCGGGGTGGCTGGGGGAAGAGAGTGGGGACACAGAGACCAGTTCTGGTGCTTCATAGAGTGAGGAAGAGACACTCGAGCCTCTCTCCAAGAGCGGGGAGACAGAGATCCGTGGTCATGACTGGCTCACCAGAGGGCGTCGGCGAGAGAGGGTCAGGGGAAGAGAACCCTGAAGGAGCCCAGAAGAGCACATGCTGTGCTTCAGGGCCATGGCTTCCCCAAACGGAGCCCCCTCCCCATCTCCAAATGAAGCCCCACCCCCATCCCATCTCCATTTTCAAATCCAACACCATCACCGCAACCTAACACGACTACAACATAACCCAGAACACGGGAGAGAACGTGCCGTGTGCCAAAGCATCCTGTCACACCCTTGTTACTGGATCCTCACCCTTATCACGTAGATGTCACTATTATTCTCGGTTTGCAAATAAGTAAACGGAAGGCTTGGCAAGGTGGTGCGTGAGTTGGACCCAGCGCAGCTCCTAACGTTTGCGATGCATTACCCTATACTCTCCAGCAGCCCCTGCCCAAGCTGCTCCCCCCTTCTAGGAAGCTTATGGACCTTTGCATCAGGGGCAGAGAATGTTTCCCGTGCTTTATGCAAGTAGGATGTGGGGCCTGAGGAGAATCAGGCAGAGACCCTGGGTCCCTCGAGTCTGGTTTAGACTCAGGGAGGTGGACCTTCTGAAAGGAGACACTTCTCTGCCCCAGGGTCTCCCTCTGGAGCTATAGGTCTGACTCAAGGATACTTGCTACCATGAGAGGGAAGAGAGGGGCACACCTGGGGGGCATGTGGACTTACCAGCCAGGGACGGCTGGAACGGAGGGCATTCGGGATTGACACCTGGGAGAAAGGGAGAGAAGCGTTTATTCGCAAGTTGCTGCAAAACTCTACATCCCAAGATCAGCACCTCCCCCATCCCATCCGATTTGTTCTCTAGGGAACTGGAGGGCTTCCCGGTGTCCCCTCGCAGGCTTCTGACAGGCTCTCCCCGCCGCTCACCCAGTGGAGGAGATGTGCAGATGACAGGGGTGAGGTCCGGGCCTGGAAGGGGCCAGAAAGACAGTGGTTATGCAGACAAGGACTTCAGCCAGGTAAACTGAACTGTCCCAGCCCCAGATTCTCACCTTTGATCTTTGGGGACTTGCAAGGCAGTGGGGGGTTCTCTGTTTTCTTTCCTGGGGGCGGGGGGTGGGAGGGGAGGGAGGGAAAGGAATGGTTAGGCCCAGAGCAACACAAAGGCAGCACTGAGTTTCCTGTACCCCCAACCCCAACTCACCTGCCCTCGGAGGCCTAGGTGGGGCCATCGAGTCTGTAGAAGAGAAGTTCAGAGTTAGAGCCGGTGTGAGGCCCGGAAAAAGATCAGAAGCCGTGATGGAGCCAGGGCCGAGGCTCAGGTGGAGGGTGAGGGACAGGGTTGAGCATGAGAATGGAATCGGGGTTGAGCTAGAGCGACCAGCCGTCCTGGATCGCCCGGGACTTGCCCAGTTTTAAACCTCAAAGTCCCACATTCCAGGAAGTCACTCAGCCCTGGGAAAAACTGGGGCAGTTGTTCGCCCTCAGTTAAAGACACAGCTGAGTCTGGGCTAAGGCTGGAGTCACGGGTGTGGCTGGGCTGAGGATGGGGTGGGGGGACGGTGAGGGACACGGGAGCAGGGTTGCGGTGCGGGATGTGGTCCGGATGAAGGGTGGGACTATCACTGCACCAGGGGATCGGGAGGAAACCCCGTTTAGGTCGTGGTTCTGTGGAAGAAAGGGGGACGACTGCGGCTTTGGGAATAAAGCCGGAAATCGGACTGCAATCGGAAATGGGGAAGGGGCTGACTTCGGGGAAGGGGCAGCACCAAAGATGAAATGGGTGGGGTCCATGTTGGAGGTGGGCTTGAGGACTGTGTCGAGACCAAGTGGGAGCTGGGAGCCGGCCCGCCGCAGAGCCCAGGGCCCCTCCTGCCTCATTCGGAGCCCCGGGCACCTCCCGGGTCGGCCTCTCACTGGACTGAGAAGCGGTGGACGCAGTGCCCCGCCCTGCAGGGACCGGCCGCGGTCCAAGGACACCAGCACAGCGCAGTCGACCCTCAGGGGAGCCTCGAAGCCTTCCCTTTTATACCCACTTAGCAGACTCTTGTCGAGACCCGGGCCAGGCACGGAGCCTAAAGGCAAATCTGGTCCCCAGAGTGTGGATGTGAGGAGGCTGGGAGTCGAGGGTCCACGCACTGCTTATGAAGCACCAGCCTTCGTGTCTCAGGACCTATGCACCCATCGGTTCTCTACCAGGCTCCTCTGCCTAACAAACTCCGGCTCATCCGTTAAGCCCCATCCCAATATCCCCCCTCTGACCCCAGTCTCCCCACCACTACAAGCGGAGCCCTCAATTCCCCCTGGAGATTTCCCCCGTTCTCACAGGCCATCCCTTCGTGGACCTGCTCACCGGGGGCTGTGCCCAGAACCGCCCCTCCCAGTGGACAGGGAGACCTTCCGGGGCAGGGCAGAGGCACAGAGACACCTGTCATCACGGCGTCTGGCTGGGCACACAGGAGGCTGACCGTGCGTCTACAACGCCCAGCTAATGCCCCCTGGCCGCTGCTTCCCTCGGGGCACAGGCCACACATTTTCTGCACCCGGCCTCTGAGGAGTCCTCTTACCTGGCTTGGGAGGGAGATCCTTGTAGGGGGGTGCCATGTTCTCATAATCATCACCATCCTCCTCCTCCTCTCTGGTCCCTTCCAGACGAGAGGCAAGTGAGAGCCCAGCCCATCCCCTCCTCTGTCCCTCGGGCCCCGGTCTCTAGCCGCAGGGTGGGGATGCCGTACTCTGGGTCCCGACCATCCCTGGCTGGCCCCCAGCTCCAGCCCGGCCAGGGTCATACCTGGCAGGTCCTGGCATCCAGAGTTGGTATACATGTGCACAGCCACGGCTAACACGAGAGCCTGAGAAGAGAGGCCCGGATGGTATCTGCCTCTGACGCCTCCTGCTCAGGTGCCTGAGGTTTCTCTCAGTTCCCTTTTTCATTAAAATTCAAGCACATGCAAATCCACCTTCGGGGGAACCACCCAAACCCCCACACACACACGTGCGCACACACACACGCACACACACACACACACACACACACACACAGACGCACACATCCTTCGCCCCAGTTTGGATTCACGCACAGAAGTGTCAACGCCTGCATCTGAGCAGCAAGCCCTGGGTGGAAAAAACGGATAAGCTCCTTCCTTTGTGGAACTTCCCATCAAGACACAACAGACACTGAACTAGGAAATAAATATAGAAATAAGCGGTTCGGTTTTTTATTTTATTTCCAATAGTCACCGAGTATTATTAAAATAAAATCACGTAGGGGCGCCTGGGTGGCTGCGTCGGTCAAGCGTCCGGCTTCGGCTCAGATCATGATCTCACGGTTCGTGGGTTCGAGCCCCACATCGGGCTCTGTGCTGAGCGTGGAGCCTACTTAGGACTCTCTCCTGGGGCACCCGGGTGGCTCAGTTGGTTAAACGTCCAACTTCAGCTCAGGTCATGATCTCACGGTTCGTGGGTTCAAACCCCACATCGGGCTCTGTGCTGACAGCTCAGAGCCTGGAGCCTGCTTCGGATTCTATGTCTCCCTCTCTCTCTGCCCCCGCCTCCCACTCATGCTGTCTCTCTCTCTTTCTCAAAAATGTACAAACATTTAAAAAGTGACATAAAACAGGGGCACCTGGCTGGCTCAGTCAGAAGAGCATGAAGCTTTTGATCTCAGGGTCATGAGTTCGAGCCCCACGTGGGGAGCAGAGATCACTTAAATAAACTTTTTTTTTTTTTTTAATGACAATAAAATACAATAAAACAGAGTGAGGGATAGGATAGAGGCTAGTGTAGAGAGATAAAGAGAGAAGGCCTCCTGGAAGTGACAATTGTGACAAAACGCTAAAGTGATAGGTGCTAAGTACTCCCATGTTCCACAGCGAACGTTCCATGTTCCACGTTCCTGGCTCAGTTATCTCTGGCTGCATCACAAATTACCCCAAAGCTTCGTAAACGACAACAAGCATTTATTAGCTCGCAGTTTCCGTGGCGCTGAGTTCAAGAGCAGCTTGGCTGGGTGACTGGTTCTTCCCCGGGACCTCGCATATCCCGTCAAGAGGCTCCCTGGGGCCAAGGTCTCTGTGCTGAATCTGGGAGATCTGCTTCCAAGATGGGGCGCTCTCTCCAAAGGGCCGATGGAGCGTCCTCCCAATGTGGCACGGGCCAGGGTGGAAGCCATGCCACCTTGGATGCTTTGGCCACACAAGTCACAAGCTGTGACCGCTGCTATCTTTTTTCACCCCGACCGGTTCCGAGTCGTTGCGGGAGGAAACGGCATGAGAGCGTGAACACTGAGACGTGAGGATCATCGGGGGCCATCCTGAAGGCTGGTCACCACCATCACATGCACAGAACTTGCAAAGGAAGGTTTTTCACCCTGAGCTTGACATGGACTGGAAGTTATTTAAAAAGTGAGAGTTGAAGAGAGAAGTCTGTCCACCTCATTGGTAAAGCAAGGGATGAGGTTTTGACTCCGATCCCAAACCAGGGACCTGTGGGAAGGGGCTGCAGGAGGGGTGGCCACATCTTTGGGTTCAGCACAGACGTGGGAGTTCCCTGAGAGCCAAGTGAAGACAGTGGGGTAACCAGGCTGGAGCTATTTGGAGTGCTCTGCCCAAGTGGGCAGCCTGCCTTGTGTTTCTCCAAAGGCCTGCCATCAGCCTTTGGGGCCAACGGCCTGAGAATCACCCATGACCCCTCTCTTCTCTCATTTCATGGCTCTGGCAAGTTGAATTTTCAAAAGATGGCTGCAACAGTATCTGTCTGTCCTACATGTGCTCATGCAACGTGACCTCGCCAGTCCACGAAGGAGTCCAACACTCCCCTTGAATCTGGGACGGTGGCAGTGACTCTCTTCTGACCACAGAATGTGGTGTGACTGACAGCTGCCATGCAGCCTCCACCTGGCTGTGTCAGAACACGTTCTCCCTGCCGCCATGTTGCGAGGAAACCCAAGCCGTATGGAGGTGTTCGCTCAACACTCCCAGCTGAGGCCAGACTTCAAGCTGTCCCAGCCCAGGTGCCAGACATGCAAGTGAAGACACCTCCTGATGTTTCCAGCCCCCCGGGACAGTAGAGTCACTGTAGAGTAGATTCAACCTCCAGCCCATTGAATCTTCCTATCTGAGGCCCCGGACGTTGTGGAGCAGAAACCAGCTGTCCCTACCATGCCCTGTCCCCTAGAATCTGTGACTGTCACTGAAGTGACTCTTAGTCACTAAGTTTGGGCTGGTTTGTTAGATACCTTAGATATTGGAAATCTGGCAAATCTGTTAGTAATCCTGGGTGGCTGTACCTTCACAATATAACCAGCTTCTGAGCCGGTCTGACCTCCCAGTCTAAGCCGTCTGCTCGGATTACAGTAACTGCCTCCTTCTGGTCTGCCTGCCTTCTGCCCTTGCCCTCCATAGAGTAGAACTCACAGAAGCAGACAGGTGGTTGCCAGGGGCTGGAGGAGGCAAAAAGTGGGTAGGTGTTGGTTAAGGGGAGCAGAGTTTCAGTTATGTAAGATAAATGAGTTCTGGGGAATCAGTGTACAATGATGGGACTATAATTGATGATGTTGTACTGTGTAGTTGAAATTTGCTATAAGGGTAGATCTTGGATCTTCTCGAAAGGAAGGAAGGAAGGACGGAAGGAAGGAAGGAAGGAAAAGAAAAAAGAAAAAAAGAAAGAAAGGAAGGAGGAAAGAAAGAAAGAAGAAAGAGAAAGAAAGAAAGAAAGAGAAAGGAAGGAAGGAGGAAAGAAAGAAAGAAAAAGAAAAAAGGAAGAAAGAAAGAAAGAAAGAAAGAAAGAAAGAAAGAAAGAGAAAGGAAGGAATGAAGAAAGAAAGAAAAAGAAAAAATAAAGGAAGGAAGGAAGGAAGAACGAAAGAAAGAAAGAAAGAAAG